GTGGGACGAAGAATTTTGCCACACAAGGTCAAACCTTGCGGCTCAACAAATCTCCACCTTGGCATAATTTTGAGTCCCACCAAAAAACTGCTCCACCTTCTCCATATAAGCCCTAATGGGCTTAATCACAAACAACGAACACCAACCAAGTCCAAGCACTGTTTGAACTTGTAAACTGGAAGAGGTTTCGTAAACATATCGGCTGGATTGTCCTTAGTATTGATTTTCTGAATAAGGACTTTTCCCTCAGCAATGATATCCCGAATGAAGTGATACTTCACATCAATATGTTTCGTCCTCTCATGATACATCTGATCTTTAGTCAAGTGTATGGCACTTTGACTATCACAGTGAATATCAGTAACACCTTGATATAGACTTAGCTCGCTAAATAAACTCTTCAACCACAAGGCTTCTTTGATTGCCTCGGTCACAGCCATATATTCTGCTTCAGTAGTAGACAAAGCTACGACAGGTTGTAGAGTAGCTTTCCAACTAACAGCACAACCGCCAATGTAAAATACATAGCCTGAAAGTGATCTTCTCCTGTCAAGATCCCCAGCGTAGTCTGAGTCTACAAAACCAACCAAAGTGTTATTATTTCTTCCAAACTCCAAACATGCATTTGAAGTACCTCGCAAGTATCTGAGAATCCACTTCACAGCTTGCCAATGTGCTTTACCAGGGCAAGACATATATCTGCTAACAACACTGACTGCTTGTGCAATATCTGGACGAGTACAAACCATTGCATATATAACACTGCCGACTGCACTGGAATAAGGAACCCGTGCCATATAATCTTCCTCTTCATCTGATTTTGGTGATTGAGCAGCAGATAGCCGAAAATGGCTAGCAAGAGGAGTAGATACTGGTTTAGCATCTTTCATGCCAAAACGCTCCAAAACTTTCTCAAGGTAATTTTTCTGGGTCAAGAACAACTTCCCTACTCCTCGATCTCGCTTGATATCCATGCCAAGAATTTTCTTAGCTGCTCCCAAATCTTTCATTTCAAATTCACTATTTAACTGCAGTTTCAAAGTGTGAATTTCTGACAAATTCTTGGCCGCAATGAGCATGTCATCAACATAAAGCAGCAAATAAATGAAAGAACCATCATTTAACTTCCGGAAGTAAACACAACTATCATACATGCTCCTCAAATAACCATGGCCCAACATAAAGGAATCAAACCTCTTATACCATTGTCTTGGAGACTGCTTCAATCCATATAAGGATTTCTTCAATAAGCAAACATGGTCTTTCTTACCTTCAATCTCAAAACCCTGGGGTTGTCTCATATAAATTTGTTCTTCAAGTTCGCCATGTAAGAAAGCTGTCTTAACATCAAGCTGCTCTAACTCCAAATCATACATGGCAACTAAAGCAAGTAAAACACGAATAGAGCTATGTTTAACAACAGGTGAAAACACATCATTAAAATCAACACCTTGTACCTGACTATAGCCTTTTGCAACTAATCGTGCTTTATACCTTGCATCTTCGACCCCTGGAATACCTTCCTTCTTCTTGAAGACCCACTTGCAACCGACAATTTTCTTAGCTGACGGCGGCTTTACAAGAACCCAAGTTTCATTACGATGAAGAGATTCAATTTCTTCATTCATCGCAATCAACCACTTTGCAGATGATCTTTGCAGAATCATCACAAGAAACTGCTTCTGAATAGGTGGAAGGCTCACCAACTGCATCAGTTTCTTCTGCAATAGACAAAGCATATGCAACTAAATTTGCATATCTTTGTGGTGGTCGAATGTCTCTCCTTTGTCTATCTCTGGCTATGGAATATTCCTCTTCTTCTGAACTATCTTCCACAGTAGACTCAGGTGCATCTACTGGCATTTGTTGAATAGAAGATTTGGTCTGAGAAGGACCAGAACTGCCAATATCAAGCTCCACCTGCTTCTGTGTACTATCAGTAGTACAAGGACTGGAAGACTCCTTCTTGGAAGATAACATAGACAATTCATCAAAAGTAACATCTCTACTGATCACAAATTTTGGAGATTTGGGATCAGGACACCATAATCTGTATCCTTTCACCCCAGAAGCATACCCAAGAAAATTGCACTTTTTAGCCCTGTCTCCAATTTTCCATCATTCACGTGCATGTATGCTGGACACCCAAAAACTTTTAAATTGGAGTAATCAGCAGGAGTACCTGACCAAACTTCCTCAGGAGTTTTGAAATCAAGAGATGCAGAAGGAGAACGGTTGACAATATAACAGGCCATATTGATCGCCTCTGCCCAAAAGTCGTTTGTCAACCCTGCATTAGAGATCATACACCTTGCTCTCTCCAAAAGAGTTCTGTTCATACGTTCGGCCACACCATTTTGTTGAGGCGTCATCCTGACGGTGTGATGCCAAACAATTCCTTCATTCTTGCAGAATTCATTAAATTCACCTTCACAAAATTCCATGCCATTATCTGTTCTCAACCGCTTAATATGCTTTCCTGTTTGTTTCTCAATCAAAACTTTCCATTGCTTGAAAGTTAGGAAAACATCATTTTTATGCTTAAGAAAATAGACCCAAACTTTCCTTGAATAATCATCAATGAAAGTCAACATGTACCTGGCACCTCCTTTAGAAGAAGCACGAGAAGGCCCCCAGAGGTCTGAATGAATGTAATCCAAAGTTCCTTTTGTCCTGTGAACTGCCGGCAACTGGAAGCTAACTCTCTTCTGCTTTTCAAAAATGCAATGTTCACAGAGTCCCATCTTTCCAATACTTTGACTACCAAGAAGATCTCGTTTGCATAAAATAGATAAGCCCTTCTCGCTCATGTGCCCCAATCTCATGTGCCATAATTTGGTAAAATCAGAATCAGACAAAGTTGATGTAGAAACAGCAGCAGCACCTGTAACAGTAGATCCCTGCAAAATATATAAAGTACCAGATCTGTGTGCCTTCATAACAACAAGGGCTCCTCGACTGATTTTGAGAACTCCATCTCCACCTGAATACCTGCACCCAATAGACTCAAGAGTGCCTAAAGAGATGAGATTTTTCTTCAAATCTGGAATATGTCTAACATCTGTGAGCGTCCTCACAATACCATCGTACATTTTAATCCGGATTGTGCCTTTGCCAACAACTTTACAAACAGCGTTGTTGCCCATTAAGACAACTCCACCTTCAGTTGATTCATATGTTGAAAACCAGTCCCTATTGGGACACATATGATATGAACAACCCGAATCTAAAATCCACTCATTGTTAGACCTAAAAATATTTTTCGTTGCACAGAAAATGGTTCCATCATTCTCATCAGCTGCTATACTAGCTTCAGCGGATTCAGTATTTTTCTCAACAAATTTCCCTTTTTGCTTTTCTTTATTTTTCAATTTAAAGCAATCAGAGATAACATGACCCTTCTTTTTACAATAATTGCACACCACATTTTTATGTCTGGACATGGATCTACTTCTATTTTCTGTGTTTCTCTTTTCAGATCTACCCCGAACAAACAAGCCATCGGCTTGACTCCCACTAGTTTCCCCAATAATGTCCCTATCTATCTGCTCTTTAGATTTTAATGCAGATTTAATTTTCCGATACGAAATTGTTTCCTTTTCATAAATCATAGTATCGCGGAAATGCTTAAAAGATTGGGGAAGGGAACACAAAAGCAATAGGGCTTGATCTTCATCATCAATTTTCGAATCTATATTCCCCAAATCCATAATAATGGAATCAAATTTATCAAGATGGGAGAGTATAGATGTACCTTCAGACATCCGAAGCATATACAAACTCTGCTTCAAATATAGCCGATTCTCGACTGTCTTCTTTATATACAAGGCTTTCAATTTATCCCACATAGCCTTGGCCGAAGTCTCCGTTGCTACCTCATGCAATAGCTCATCGGAGAGATTTAAGATTATGCTGGATCTGGCCTTCTTATCCATATCGGCGAAATCCGCATCCTTTACATCTTCTGGTTTGTTCTCGATTCCGTGAATCGCTAGATCAACTCCGTCTTGAACAAGAATGGCCTCCATCTTGAGCTGCCACATTCCGAAGTTGACATTCCTATCGAATTTCTCGACAACCGTCTTTGTTATCGTCATTGTTTCCACAAAATCTGTAACGTGAAGTTTGTCTCAAAAAACTGGCCAAACAAATATGCAAGTCTCGTGAGCGGACCCCATGAGATAAGCGGGCCCCACGGGGATGAACGGACCCCACAAGGTGAGCGGGCCCCACGGATAAACGGACCCTATAGGATGAGTGGGCCCCACAGGATGGACGGACCCCACCAGATGAACGGGCCCCACCAGATGAACCTGTCTTGCAAAATATAACAACCAGCTCTGATACCAGTTTGTTAGGACCGGGCCAGGAAATAGACAAACTCAAGTTAGAACAAAGTAGGCGGTATAACCGACCATATAATAGATAGGCGGTAGATACCAACCATATAATAATTAGGCGGTAAAACCGACCATATAAAGACGGATAACAAAGCAAATAAGAGACACAGAAGATTTACGTGGTTCGGTCAAATTGACCTACGTCCACGGGCGAGGGAGGAGCAATATTTCTACTATGAAAAAGAAATACAAAAGACCGTAGGAAAATGGTTCCTAGGCCAATAGGCACTTACAAAAGAGTTTAGAAAATATTCCTAAACTCAAAATAAGAGAGCCTAAAATATTTGACTAAATGGGTTAAATGACTCAAGAAACTAATAACCCATATAACTCTCTTAAGTGGTGCAATTAATTCCTTCATAAATCCCTTCTATCTATAGGCTCTCCAATGAAGCCTTCCTGCTGTCTGCTGCGATGTGGGATGAAAGGAAGAAAACTTCCTTACGCAACATCTGATGTGGGACGAAGAATTTTGCCACACAAGGTCAAACCTTGCGGCTCAACAATATGCTCTTTTTTTTGGCCCCTTATATGCTCTTTTCAACCATATATAGACTAAGTGCTTAGGAAGTTGTCCGATGGTGCGTTTTGTTTGCTGACATGGCATTTGATGATTTGCTGGAAAGTGGTCGTTCTCCATGCGCCTTTCACGTGAACTGCTGCTTGCAATTGTTGGCCTGTGGATTGCGTTTGTCAGCCACCGAACCCTGGCTGCAAAAAATCAACTCCTTCAATGGAACCCGAGACCGGACTCATAGTGGTCATACTGGTCATCAACAATAATAATAATAATAGTGCTAGGCTTGTGGTGCTGATAATAATGCTACTCTGCTTCCCATTTTACCTAATGTCAGGTTTTTGGTGAGGTTAGAGTGTGTATTTGGGTCAAAGTGACAACTCCTGTTTTACCTGTTTACCCTTGTCTTACATGTTTATTTACTTTTTTTTTTTTGGCTTGGCTTAGTTTAGCTATTGTTGGGTTATACATGTCAAAATAATGCTTTGTCACTTTGTAGCTTGTCAGCCATGCGTACCTTCTTTGCCTCTTATACTTTCAAAACGTTGTCTTCCGTACACCTTGGGAAGCTATTCCATACTTTCTGTCCTGGATTTTGCAGATGCTATCATGCTTTGTGGTTGGTTTATGCATTCGGTGATCATTTTTCCTCTTTCGTTCCGTTGTTTCAGCTATAAGGTTGGTTTGCTCTTTTTCCCTCTGCTTGGTTCTCTGTTCTTTTGGAGCTTTCATTTCTATTGTCCAGCTTCGAGGTAATTATCTCCGCCAGTTTTTTCCTTTTCGGTTTATCTACTGTTTACTGCTTCTCCTTATCAGCTGTGCCAGCATTTGCTATTTTATTTGCTGACTTTGTTCCATTTTCCCCTGTTTGCGTGCTTGTGAATGCTGATCCATGCATGCCGTTGCTATTGTGGTAAGCTCATTTGAAAACCAAAAAAAAAAAACCTTTCCCGCCTCTTTGTTTTCTTTCCAATATCTCATCTTTCTGTGCTTGCCATTTCCTCTTTTACAGCTTTATTTGATGTCGTTGTGCTTGGGATTTTCTGGCATTCTCGTTCTTCCGAGGGTGCTGCTATGGAGCTGATCTTCTGTTATGTGTTATGGCAGGAACTTGGTTGCAGGTCAGATGCTTGTTTCTTTGTTTTGCTTGCCTTTTCCCTCCTTCTGCCTGCATTAGTTGCTGACTATTTCTTGCCTCCTTCCTAGTCATTCCGTACTTTACGTATTTTCCCCAGCATGCATGGCTTCTTCAGAATCTTCATGCTTTCTTTAGTGTTTTTGCTTGGTGCATTGTTTAATCTTTCTTTATCCTTTTCGCTCCCTGCATTTTTGTACTGTACATCGTGCTCATGCATGTCTTCATCCTTTGATTGTTTACTTTCTTACACCAATTCGCATGTGCTCCTGTTCTTTCCCTTGGTTTCTGCTATGTTCTTTTATGCTTATTGTCGGTTCTTACAAAGTCATCGTATCTGGAATGTTCTTCCTTAGTTATCTTAGTGAAATGGATAAAAATGCTCTGCGCCGAAAGCGCTATGCCGAAATGTCTCCAGATGCCAAGGATGCACTTTTGTGCCGGAGACGTGAAGCCAGACTTGTTAAGAAAAAAGACAAATCCTCTCGATCTTATGTTCGTAGTGTACCGTTCGGACATGTTGAAACTGGTGTTTGTTTCTCTGGTTCTGCTCCTGCTCCTGCTCGTAACGACCAGCTACCAGGCTGCCATCATGAAGTTGCTGATGGTTGTCCTGCTGTGCTTCAGCAATCGTTGGACTATATGTCTACCACTATCCCTGCTCCACTCTGCCTATCTAGTGGAACTTCTTCCTCTGCTGTTGTCCCACATTTAGTTCAATGTAGTTTAGTTTCTGAAGGTATATACCATCGCAAAATTCTAGCTCTCTTCCCCCAGGACCTTTATAGTTATTTAGTTGTCTTCCCCATGTTGACATCTTTTATTGTCTTCGCTTCCCTCCGTACTATTCTCATACAAGTGAGTCCATATATTTGTAGGGTTTGCAGCACCTCTGATAAGTCGTTCGGTTCACCGTAGAGAAGCTGCGGTAGATAGTGGTACTGCAACGCTAAAAGAGCAGGCCTGTCTCTCCCCCCATGTTTCGGCTACTGTTCAGCCTTCTCGTCCTTCTAGAAAACGTTCCACAGCCAATTGTTCTCGGAAAAAGAAAAAGAACAAGCTCCTGCCTTTGCATAGTCAAAATGAAAATGAACAAACCTGTCATTTGCATACTGAAAGTACATATGCCGTCTTAGGATCTATTGATGAGTCAAATCTTGGATCCCTTCGTTCTTCTGCTCCTTCATGCTTAGACGACTTAGGTGAGCATGGAGTGTCTTCCTCAATCACAGTCACCCCTGTGTCTTTTAGCCCTACTCAGCCTACAGGTATTATTCATTCATTTTGCTAATCCTTTTTGTTTCTTTCCACGTCCAGCTTGTCAAACCCCTTTTTCTTTTGCAACAAACGGTTGTTCGGTTTAAAATAATACAATGATTTGCCAGGCAACACAAATGAGGCCAGCACATCCTTTGCTCCTCCTGTTGGTTTTACAGCCAATGCAACAAATTGTTCAACCGTTATATTGCCAGCAAAGAGGCAAACAGGTTGCTCTTTCATTGTTTGTCATATTCGTGACTTTTCCATCCATATTCCTTTCATATTAGATTTCTTTTGGACTTCCTTTTGAGTATCATTCCCGTTACATAACCTAAACTGTAGGGACACTTCCTAGACAACGTCGCTCAAAAAACTCTAGGATTGATGAAATTCCTAAAGAATCTTTATTATTGCCTGATGCTCCTGATTGTCAATATTGTGGAGCTAAAAGATTCCATTTGGAGCCCCCTAGCTTCTGCTGCTCTCAAGGAGAAATTTCTATTGTTGCTCCTTCTATGCCTTACGCTCTAAAGCGTCTATTTATAGGAAATGATGAAGAATCTGACCATTTCAGAAAATTAGCTCGTACTTACAACAATAACTTGTCTTTCACTTCATTTGCTGCAAAGTATGATCCAGAATTGACAAGGAATACAAGAGGGGTATATACCTTTCGTGTCCAGGGACAAGTTTATCATTTTCTAAACAGCTTATCACAGCCTGATAATAGAACTTGTGGAATCCATCTCTACTTTTTTGATACTGATGAACAATTAATCAACCGAGTTGCTGCTTCTGACAAGCTTCGTGAGAGCACTTTAAAGCTTTTGATGGACATACTTTCTAATAATCCTTATGCTAGATTCTTTAAGGATCTAAGGGATATTCCTGATCTTGAAAAGCATAATATTGTGCTTAATTGCTTTCCTGGCCTTGACCAGCGTATTTATAATCTTCCTTCTACTTCTCAAGTTGCTGCTATATGGACTGAAAATGATGATGAATCAGTAAATAGGCAAGCACATATTCTCGTATATAGCCACTCAAATACTGCTCACAAGGTCCAGCATTATTATGCTTGTTATGATCCTTTGCAGTATCCTCTCTTGTTTCCCCGTGGTGAATCTGGTTGGCACCACGGAATTAAGCGAGCCTATAAAAGAAAGCGAACTGAACATTCCTGTGATGAAGAGGTTATCATTGATCCCTCTTCTGTGCAGGAACCATCTTACCTTATCGATTTAGAAAAGAGAGGCAAGTATATCTCCTATGTTTTATAATTCTCCGACGTAACCGTTATCAAATAAACTTTTCTTTACATGTTGACTTCTTTTTTCATTCCCTATAGCTGCTGACCATGCAAAAAGGATGAGCATACTGTATCAGCTAGAGAATATTACTGCTATAGGTTCCAAATCAGGAAGAATGATGAATCCATGCTATTGCATAGCCTTAGATTGTTGCAGCAGTTTTCGGTTGATTCCTATGTCAAAATTGAAACATCGTGCCTGGATTTCCAGCGTAAGAGGCAAAATGAAATTCGGACAGAAATCCTTGAAGGAGTGCTAGATAGTGTTTCCATTGGTCAGACCGAAGGTTCAAAAGTTGGTCGAAAGGTTATATTGCCAGCATCTTTTATCGGTGGTCCAAGAGATATGAGGCGCAGATATCTTGATGCAATGGCATTGGTACAAAAATATGGAAAGCCAGATATTTTCTTGACCATGACATGTAATCCAATGTGGAAAGAAATTCAAGATTGTCTGCAATTTAAAGAGAGAGCTCAGGATAGGCCAGACCTGTTGTCTAGAGTATTTAGAGCAAAATTTGAAATGCTCAAGGCAGAACTTTTGGACAGAAAAATTTTTGGGGAAGTTGCTGCATGTGTTTATGTTATTGAATTCCAAAAACGGGGCTTTCCTCATGCACACTTATTATTAATCTTGAAACCACAATTCAAATTGCTTAATCCTGAGTCATATGATAGAATAGTTTCCGCTGAGCTCCCTGATCCTAAGCAGTTTCCTCATTTGTATTCCCTTGTTCTTAAGCACATGGTTCATGGACCTTGCGGAGACATGGCCAAGAATAGCCCTTGTATGAAAGGCGGTAGCTGTAAAAATCATTATCCGAAAAATTTCTGTGAACATACAACTCATGCTGAAGACAGCTATCCATACTATAGGAGAAGAGATGATGGTAGCAAAATAACTGTCCGCAGGTTTGAACTTGACAATAGATGGATCATTCCTTATAATCCATATCTTTTAGCCTTGCTTGATTGTCACATGAATGTGGAAATCTGTTCCACTTTGAAGCTGGTCAAATACTTATACAAGTATATCTTCAAAGGACATGATCTTATCAGCTTCAAAATTATATCTGATGATTCCCGTGCTGATGTCGATGAGATTAGAGAATTCCAGCAGGGAAGATGGATTTCACCCCCTGAAGCATTTTGGCGCATCTTTGAGTTTAGGCTAAACGAGATGACTCCAGCTGTCTATACTCTACAAGTTCACTTACCTGACCAGCAACTGATTACTTTCAACAAGAACTCAGACCTTTTACAGCTGATGAGGAAAATTGACTTTTCAAAAACCATGTTGACTGAGTTCTTCAAAATGAACAAAGCAAATGGAACGGCTAAAACCTTGAAGTGCTTTTATAGAGAATTTCCAGAGTATTTTGTTTGGTATTTTAAATTTAAAACTTGGACTGAGAGAAAGCGTAAAAGAGCCATTGGAAGGCTGGTCACCGTCAGCCCTCATGAAGGAGAGAGATATTACCTTAGACTCCTGCTAACTCATGTTCGAGCTCCTACGTCGTTTGATGACCTCTTGAATGTTGATGGCAAAAAAATGAATTGCTTTAGAGATGCTGCTTTGGGCCTTGGTCTTTTACAGTCTGACACATATATACAAGAAACTCTTGAAGAAGCAGTTCTTTTTCAAATGCCATCCTCTTTGAGGCTGCTATTTGCTACTATTCTTGTTCATTGTTCTCCAGCAGATCCTGCATTTCTTTGGAACAAATTTCAGCTTGATCTTTCTGCGGATTACCACCGATCTCAACATCTCTGTTTTAATACACCTGAAGAAATAAGGAATAAGGTCCTGCAAGAAATTAAAAAAATGGTCGAACAAATGGGTAAGAGTTTTGCTGACTACCATCTAGCTGCAGACACTTCAGTAGATGTTCACTATGATCAGCTAACAAAGGAAATTGAATGTGAAAAAAATATTGAAGTTCCAGCAGAGGATCTAATGATGCCTTTCAAATTAAATGCTGAACAGCGGCATGCCTATGATTTAATTCTGCAGTCAGTTTTCTGTCCTGTTGGCCAGAGTTTTTTTATTGATGGCCCTGGGGGAACCAGTAAGACCTTCTTATATAGGTCTCTTCTAGCTACTTTAAGATCCCAAGGCTACATTGCTATTGCAGTTGCAACGTCGGGTGTCGCAGCCTCTATTCTTCCAGGAGGAAGAACAACTCATTCTAGATTCAAAATACCATTAGATTTTTCTAGAAATAAAACCTGCCAGATTAGTAAACAGGGCAGTGTTGCAAAATTACTTTTTGAATCAAAGTTAGTCTTGTGGGATGAGGCTTCAATGGCCAAGCGAGAAACTATTGAAGCCTTTGATGGTTTGCTTAGGGATATAATGGACTGTGACTGTCCATTTGGAGGAAAAGTAGTTGTTTTCGGTGGCGATTTTCGCCAAACTTTGCCAGTTATCAAACAAGTTACAAAGCAAGTTCTCATACAATCTAGTCTCCCTAACTCTCCTCTATGGTCTCAGCTGGAAAAGCTGCAGTTGGTGCACAATATGCGAGCCATTTTAGATCCAGCATTCTCAGACTTCTTATTAAGAATAGGAGAAGGAAGAGAAACTGTTGATAGACATGGCGAAATAACTTTACCTTCTGCCATGGTCATTCCTTATATTGAAAAAGAACAATCTTTGAACAGGTTAAAGAATTTTCCCTCCAACGTATTACTTTTATCCATTTTTTTCTAGTTGAATGTTCATGCATTCTCACTTATATTTCTTACAAACAGGTTGGTCAAATCTGTTTTTCCAGATTTAATGACCTATTCAAAAAATCCTTATAGTATGATCAATAGATGTGTCCTTGCTCCAAAAAATAGCTCCGTTGATGAAATAAATGACATGATGATCAAAAGATTTCCTGGAAACCTTCATGTGTACGTCAGTTCTGATAGAACCGTTGATCCCCGGCATCAAGGAGACTATCAAGATTTCTTGAATTCTCAAAATCCAAAAGGCCTTCCTCCTCACAAGTTGCTGCTCAAAGAAAATTGTCCAATCATGCTTATAAGAAATTTGAACCCTACAGAAGGATTATGCAATAGTACGCGACTCATTTGCAGGGAGCTAAAGCAGAATACTATCTGCGCAGAGATAGCTTTTGGCCAACATCGAGGCAAAAGAATTTTTCTGCCTAAAATTCCTTTACAAATTTCTGATAATGACAAGAATGGCTTGCCATTTATAAGGACACAATTTCCTGTCCGTGTCTGTTTTGCTCTGACAATTAACAAAGCCCAAGGCCAAATACTGGATTACGTTGGAATCTACCTTCGCGAGCCAGTTTTTTCTCACGGCCAATTATATGTTGCTTTATCCAGAGTAAAAACTTCTGCAGCACTTAAAGTCCTTATCCTGCCTGGAACTTTTGATGGCATAAAAACTGATTGCAGGACTAGAAATGTTGTCTTTGAAGAAATACTCCGACTAACTAAACACTAGGACTGCATGTTAGACTTATTTATATTTAAGGTTAGTTAGCCATAATTATTATTTTGTTCTTATAATGTCTGCAATGGCATTCCTTATTCATACTGACATTTGATAGATATTCTCTTTATTGGTTTCCATTTAGCATGGAGAAGCTCTTATCCATAAAAGAAATTGTGCCTGATATGCAAGACTGGTCATGCAAAGTTATTGTTCAGGAAAAACAGCAGATTACCCAATCACTGTCAACGCCGACGAAGAAGCAAAAGCTTATTTTTGTTGATACAGAGGTAGATAAATACAACTTCTATATTTAAAGTTTCTCTTTATATTATATTCATAATCACACCTGATTCATTCTTGAACATTTTCACTTACGAAATAGGGATCAAAGGTTGAGGGCATTATTTTCAACCACGATATTTCTAGGGTCGGACCAATCCTGCAGGTCTACAAAAAGTACAAAATAACGAATGCTGTGGTTAGACCAATCGACTCAAAATATCAAACGGCTGAACTAACAATGCAGTGGATCCTCACTAGTAAAACTGTCATTGAAGAGGATGCCGATGATGAAGATATAATGCCTGTCAAATTTAACTATACTCAATTCACAGACTTGGCACAGTATGTGGATCGTAAAGATAAATCTGTAGGTATGTATGTTCTGTGTTAGACATATATCATGCATTTCAAATCAGGACAGCTTTTACAACAACTTTTTCCTTTCACAGATGTCCTTGGAATAGTTATTGAAGCACAGGACAGAAGGGTCATTAATAAACATTTCAAAGAATCAGTTGTTCAGAAATCCGTCCTTGTCAATGAACAGTAACCGGCCCTTTCTGCCGCTTGCCACACTCTTAGTTAATTCTGTTATAATTCGACGTCTATCTGTTACATGTCTTAACAGCTGCCTATTGCCTTCATGTTAGATCACAAGCTGTCATGCTTTCTATGTGGGATGATTTCATCAAAAATGAAGGGCAACATATAATAGCTGAAATAGGCAACTACCCTGTCGTCATATGTCGCAAGCTCAAAGTTAACAACTATAATGGTAATTCTCCCTCTATACATCTTTATTTTAATTTTCATTTTTGTAAAAAATCTGATACAGAAAATTTGCCAATGTATCTTCATTCTTAATCGTATAGGAGTTGCGCTGTCGACATGGTTTGATTCTGCAATCCTTGTTGATCCTCCTGTACAGGAAGCAAGAGAATTAAAGAACTGGTATTGATTAATGCTTTATATCATGTTAGCAATCAATCATATATAATCACTTGTTTTGATTATTTTTTTTGTTTCCTCTATCCCAGGGCGATCAGAAATACCAAACTACTTGCAGCAATCATTGATGAAAAAAGCTATATTAAGTATAACCCTCAGATATCTGCAAAGCCAGATCAAAAAACCATTTTGATTTCAAATGTCAGACCATCACAAAAGGTTTCAGCATTTCTTCATCTAATCTGTCATTTAACTATCCATTTACATATTAACATATAAGTTAACACTGTGGCTTCCGTTACTGTCTTTTAGAATATATGGGTTAAAGCAAGGTTCTCCTTTCAGCACATATTCCAGAAATACTGGTATATGAGCTGTAAAAAATGTTGTCGGGGCACTGCTGCTGCAGATGGAGTTATTTTTATGTGTAATACGTGCAAAGAAAAACATCCTGCTCAGCCTAGGTAGTTACTTTGAAATTCATTAATGTATATATTCTACTTATTTATTGCTAACTCTTCTTTAACACATATGCCTCACTCAAATTTACATACATCTATAGGTGTCACTTTGATATGGATTTATGTGATGATACTGGTGCCATCACAGCTTCTGTTTTTGGAGAACAAGCTGAAAAGCTGCTAAAGTTCACTGCTCTTGAAATAATGGACCATTTTAAGCAGGCCTGTTTTCCTTGCAAAAAATAACTGTCAAATTATTATCCCTTCCATTTAATTGTTATTGTAGCAGACTTCTGCATTGTGAATATAATGCTTATCCACTCACCTATTTTTCCCGTCCATATTTTCCTTTTATAGAACATTGAGCTCCCTCTGGAGGCTATCCATAAGGAGTTGGAGTCCAAGTGGTTTCTCATACATATAAAACCAGTGCAGGCTCAAATGTCTGATGCAAAACAACGCTATACAGTTATCTACTATTCTAAACTTCTCAATAGTGATGCTGTTGATTCCCCTGCTGAATCTAAAAATGCTGAATCCAAAAATCCTACTTTGTTAATCGAGCTGCAATCTGACACCGCTGACATCGTCACTTCAGGTATTAACTGTTTAGCAGTAACATTTAATTGTATCTATGACATTAATAAAACCTCCATTTCCTTCTCAGGTCAAATAATAATGCCTCATAAACATCTGTTCAAAAACTCCTTTGTTCTTCTGATTCTATTATACAATTGACTATATATTCATCTATCATTATTAGATGTAGCGTATATAGACATATATTACTATTTCGCCTTTGTTAACAAATTTGATTTTCTTACAGGAGCCACAGCTATTCAAGAAACCAAACCAGCTTCCAAGGCTAGACAATGTTTAACTCAAAAATTGGAACTCTTAGCTGATCAAGCCAATAATACTTCCCGTTCTGTCAGTGAAGGCTCTAAGAAGAAGTCCAGGCTCATGTAGACTGGTGTTATTTCCTTTTGTGTTAATAACTCCAAATAGGTAGCTGTACTGTATATTGCTATCAATTACTTTTTGTTCACCGCCTTATTCTGCCTTAGAAACCACGCTACCCATGCCTGATCCCCTTCCTTTGAACTTTATTTTGTTTGATGGTTTATTCTCCTAGGGGAACTATGCTGCCAGTGCTTGATTCCCTTTGATGGAACTTGCAGCTAAAATGAAAATAACTTTTATGTCTTGTTCCATTGCTGTTCTAACAGGACATTTACTGTCATTTACTTTTTTCCAGCTATTCCATCTTTACATTTCAATCCGATGCTCATTACCCTTCAGTTACACCAGAACACTTTAGTCACAATTTTACTGAAGAGTTATCTCCTTCTGCATTAATTATTCAGTGGATATAACAAATATAGTATCAATTATAATATGTACTTCTCTGAACATCAGCATTGTCATCTACTAAACTACTGGCCCAACACGCAACCAATTATATTTGTTCTGCTGCGATAAACAGGCATCACTTGATAGTATATATATATAAGTCTGTTTCCTCTTCCATTCCTTCTTACTATGTGCATGCCTTTGCTTACAATTTACTACAAATCTCTTTCTTTATGCTTTCATAGCTCACACTTATCCAACTACACTGACCAACTGCTCTCATCCATTCGTCTTAACACCTTCATGGCACAAACATCTATCGTTTCTATGAATTCCTCTCAATACACGAACAATGCTCCACAAACATATTGCTTTTTTATTAGATGCAAAAACAAAGGACAGGTAATAATATTTGTCTCCAATGTTATAGATTTCTTATGGTTTATTCTTCAACTTGCGTTCAAACATGACCTTCCTTTTTATGCAACATACAGCCTTTGCCTGTTGAATTTCAAATATTGCTGAGCCAACACGATGACACTACAATCACCTTCAGACATGGATTGCAACGATGGACTATCTCAGTTAGAAATAGCTGCTTTGAAGAAGGATGGATAGAATATTGTCACCAGAACATGACCAAAGAGCATGATATGCTATTGCTTCGCCATGCTGGAGATCTAATTTTTGATATCATTAATTTCTGTGAACTGAAAAAGCAAGTCTATCTCCGTTGGACAGTTTCCCTACCGAATCTTTTGCATCAGCAAAACAGTATAGGTTCACAAGTTATATTTCCCTTTCTAATTTAGCAGTCTATATATACCACTTACTATATTTTACAATATTATTCTTTCGTCTTGTCAGATCCTACCTTTTTATCACTTCATCAGCAAATTGTTTCCTCATCGCTAAGCCTGGATTTCTCTCAAGATCTATCCAATTCAATCTGCTTTTATCAGACGTTTGACTCAGCATATCCAAATTCCTTGGTAATCTTCTTTTCTATCCACCGTTTCTAAACACCTTTCCTCCGGCAGAATAATTTACCCTTCTTCATTAACTAACTTACATTCTCTTATTTGTAGAAACTCCCTCGGTTTGTCGATCACTTTTTAAATGGTAACAGAACTCCAACTATAGTTCTAAAAACTGGCAACAACATCACTCAAGTTGGAATAAAGCGCAACCGACTCAAACAAAATTGGAGAAAGTTTGTTCTGGACCATCATCTGCAGCATAATGATACGCTTGTCTTCATTCCAGAATCACAGACAAGCTTTGCTGTTTTAATCTTTAGTAGTGATGGAATTGAGAAGATTTTCCCTTGGTACAATATCTTTCTGCTGTACTTTTTTGGTGGACGGATATCCACTTACATATGTAATCCTTCATTAAATATATAATCAGTTTATTATTAACCTGCTTCTCGACAAAAAAAACTGGTCTGTCTCATTTTTACTGCAATACATATCCAACAATTTACTCTGCCCAGGAATATATTCCCTTGCTGCAAAATTTTATCAGATTTCTGACAATGCAGTGACCTACATGAACTGAACATCACGCATGACCCAACACTGAGCAACCAAGCTATTCTTTTCTCCCTACAATATTCCTTCACTGTGCATTTTATTTGCAATATCTATTCTATGTCATAAAACAGCTTCACCCATTGAAACAAGTTCCCTTCTTTTAATTAACTAGTAATAGCTCACATGCTTTGTACATAATTGTAATATCTTAAAATATATTATTTTTCAAATAACTAATTTCTTTTCAAACTTTAATCATCAATATCATAATATAGTATTTTTATATTATTTATTTTCTAAAGCTAATTACTTTTAAAAATTTTATCAAATCAAAAAAACATTCCAATATAGTTCACATATCCCTTAGAATTCAATTTGAAATCATAAACCAAATACTTTTTCATTTATAACTTAAACTTTAACATATCAAATAGTGACAATATTATGTTTAGCCAAAATTATAGTATATTCATCACTCTATTACATATAAACATGAAGGTAATTTCCAAATAACAAAAAACAAAATCAAAACTACTTGCACTTGCACTGCCTAATACCAACATTCATACGTTTTATATAAAAATAATGATTGGTATGTATAATAATAGAAGATTGAGTCCAAGGATAGGTAAATAATTTTTAATAAAATTTTTTTAATTATAATTACCAATAACATTAAAATATAATCAATTGAAGTATTTTATTTCCTTTAATAGGTGCCACATTAAAATCATATAAGTATAATTTAAAAATAACAAAAACTAAGATAAAAAAATCTTTACAGTTGCACTCCTTAATATTAACATTCATACTTTTTATATACTAATAATTTAAATTACAGTATTTACCAATCCACTATAACAAATATTACAAATTCTCCACTTTAGATATAGAGTTGTGCGCCCATACTTATTGTTCCTTTTCGTATAATTTTCCAGTACCAGCCACAGCCATCTTACTTTACACCAAATTATTCGTTCACCTTATAAGCATTAAAAAAGGAATTCTTGATTTAAATCAAAAAGTCTAGAGCTACTAGCAGACAAAATGCCGCAGGCCTAACAAAGATTCCTTTACTGCATGCATTATATTGCTAGATTTGCAACTTCATGCCTGCCAATCTCTTTACTTGTTCTCTTTTCAACCCATCACTCAACTTATTACTCATATTTACATTTCCTACCACTCTACAAATCATTTACCATTTCTCTTCTACATATTCATCACCTGCTACCAATAAATCACATTTAGTTTCCTCTGCAAATACCCAGCACGCTCAATCTTCTCTTCAAAGTACATCCTGCTAAACAATACCCGTAAGATGAACCCTTCTACCATGCCTTTGTCTGCTATTCATCCGTCCTTGAAACACTGGGGAGTTACTGTCCAGGCAATTGAAGCAACACATGTGAAGTCTAGCTCAATTCTTCAGCAACAATTTCAAACATTTGTGCTTGCTGACGCAGAGGTAATATATATCCAAGTCTTCCTTTTACCTTCAAATCATCAAACTAACTTCAATACAATTTAATACTTGCTAATCACAGGGTACGACAGTCGAAATGCATGTTCCTCAGAGCATTCTCGATCAAACAACTGAACTGCTTGTACCGTTTAAAACATACCACATCTCTGGAGCTTTGGTTTCTCCGCCAATTACTGATACTGCCATCAGTCAATATCCATTTCATTTCATTGCTACTGAAGATACTTTAATTGAAGAAATTCAAGAGGCTGGTCAGCCTTCTCTTCCTCTTCATTTCCAGCTACATTCTTTCTCTACATTAGCCGTAATTGCTGACACTGATCAGCTTATAAGTAAGTTAGTCCTCACACCATGCGATATCTTGTCCACCTGCCAACAAATTACTAGCATCCTGATTTTTTTTTAAAACTTCCTTAGATGTCATGGGAATTGTACTACATGCTTTACCTGTGAAAACTATCACTTCTGACAGAGAAACATCCATTGCTCGAGACTATGTCATTGCCGATCGAGAGTAATAACCTTACCTGCTAATTCATTTAGTTATTCCATACATCATATATCCGAACAAACTATTCACATAAATATTTATTCTTCCTGTTTTTGCTAGCATGAGGCCATTCATTTTAACTTTGAAGAATGACTTCCAACAAGCCAATGGTCCTGCAATTGCAGCTGCTCAAAACGATTTTCCAGTCATCATTGGCATAAGAATGAAAGTCACAACACAGAACTGTAACCAAATACCTACTATTTATTATTTAAAAAACACCATCACACTTATAAGCAAAAAAATCTTTTTCGTTCATCTTGCTGTTCATATTTTCTTCCTTTTTTTCCCTTATATCCCAGATCTTAGCCTTTCAACTCAAGATTCGACCACTATTTTGATATCTCCAATAGTACAACAAGCAACGGATCTGCATCACTGGTCAGAATTTTTTAGGCGCTCTATGTTCCATCATTCCAATTACTCTGTTCCACCTTAACTTTTCCTTTCTTATTTTAGGTATCATCACAACGCGCCTCAGCTAGCACAGATGGTCCATGAACACAGTTATACTAATCCGCACATCCTTCTTCCTCCCCCTCACTACAATCAAATCCATGACATAGCCGCTCTACTTCACTTCGTAAAATTCTTATACTACTGGCCAATTTCACATCTTAACTTCTTTTTCATATTTCCTTGTTAATATTTCCCTATTGCTCCTCCTATTGCTTTTATTATTCTATGTAGAAACCAAGGACTGCATGGATTAGAGGTGTCGTCGAGCTTGACTGTAAACCTCAAGATTTTACCTACATAGCTTGTCCCAATTGTTATCACCCAAACAACTGTGTAGATGAACGGAAAATAACTTGCAAATACTGCCAAGCTAATGTTGATCTCCAACCCGGGTACTTATAAATAATATACCCTGTTTATCTTACTCAATCTATACCTCCAATCGCATGTACATCACCTCATTAATTCCAGGGCTTGCATTTCGATTTGGATCACGGATTCAACTGGCACTCTATGTCTTACTGCTATGGGCTCTGAAGCCGAAAAGCTAGTTCAATTTTCAACTGCTGAACTATTCTATTTGCAAATGGAGGTAAGTACCTATTTTCTTTTATGCATCACTTGTTTCGGTCTCTTTTTCCCAACAACTTATTATATTCCTTTCACACTTTATTCTCACCAGAATATAAATATAACTCAGCATCTCCAAACAATTCTCCACGGAAAAATACTTACATGCTACATCAAACCCTCCACATCAAAGTTCAGAATGATCAGACGCTCAGCTTATCAAATGATCACTTACTACGCTATGGATGAAGTTCACAACGTTGACAACCTCAACATCAATGATCTCAACATTAATCACTGAAGACCTACTTATTCTGTTTTCTAAATCTACGTTCATTAGTATTAATGTTTTTTTACTTATCTGTTAAATATGCTGTTCATTACAATTTCCAAATTTCTTACTTTCTACTTTCCAATTTCTTATTACTTTACTCAACAACACTGGGCATGCCAATCTTTCAAATCCACACCGCGCTTATGCGCGGTGCACACCTCCTAGTCATCAACATAAGTAGATAAAGAGCGAAGGGCTGTGGTGACCTGGAGGTTTTCGTCGTCCTCTCACGTGCTGCGCGCATGTGATTGAGAGCGTTGTTTTCTTCGCGCATCGCGCGCTTCTTCTCCTCTGCCGGTATCCATGTGCCTCCAGCTGCGTTGTCTGCTGCGTCGATAGACTTCTTTCTCTATCTGGCAGTATCACATGCCTCTTCTCCCCACTGTCTTCTCTCTCTCTTTCTTTTGGGCAATGTTGCTCTGCTGCTTATCCGGCTGTTCTGAGCCTTGGTACGAGAGCCTGTTGAGCTAACCAGTTATCTTCTAACCACGCAGGTATCAGCGAGCCTCGGTCTCTCGCATTCTCTGGGTTGCGGTGTTCCAGGCATTTGGCTCTCCTCCTCTTCCTCCGTTGTGAGTTTTCTTCTTCTTCCTTTTTCCTTTCCGGTGAGGTGCAATTTTTCCCATTAGCTTCCTTCGTGAATCTTTAGCCTGGAACTGATGTTTTTGTTCTTTGTTCCCCTTCTCCAGACGCGCAAGGACCATCGAACCTCTGTCCCTCGCGTTCACTGGGTCTCAGTTGTCCAGATCAGCTGCGGGGCGTTCGGTTTTCCTCCTCCTCCTCCGTTGTAAGTTTCCTTGTTCTTCCTTTACGTTGAGGTGCCATCTTCTCTGTTAGCTTCCCCTGTATTTTTTTCCCTTTATTTCCTTTTTCAACTGGCTCCTATTTTGCTCTCGGGAAAGGTTCGATCTTGCCACCTGTTTGGATCACCTCTTCCTCCGCCGTTTGGATCGTGCTTCGTTGTGCCTCTCTCTGCAGTTTTTAGTCTAGAGTTGCTATTTTTCCTCGAATCAAAGGCGTCTGTTCTCCGTCATAAGCTCACCGAGAAAGACGCCATCATTGCCGACCTTCAGTCCCTCGATGCCTCCTTTTCCGACGCTTCCGACAAACTCACCCTCGCTACCCAAGAAAAGGTCCGATTCTTTTAACCAACCCGACCCACTTGAACCGTTTTACTTCTCCAACAATTACTACTTATAGCTATAAGTTTTCTTCTTCTTCTTCTCCAAATGCTTATCTTTTGCCACAATCCCAACAGAAAAAGCAATACCCTCCATGTTAATTCTCTGCTCCAATGCAGCTTTCAAATCTACCCACCACATGTTTGTAAAAATACCCGAGTGGATCTCTAAATCACTATATGCTGTTTCTAGATATTCTCTTTTCTGGGTTCTCTGAGTTTCAATGGGAGAGTAAAAACCTTGTGAAAATGAGGTTTTTTTCTGACATGGGTACTGGGTGTTTTTTGGGCTTTTTCTCCTTTCCTGTTCTTTGCTGCAACTGTTTGTTGCTGTAAGTGTCAGAGGGGGCCTGGTGAATAACGTTTCTGGGGAATAGAGGGAATAAGCATTGCTCGAAAAATGGAGATTTTGAAGGTAGAAACGTTTAGGGATGGGATAATAGCAAGTGTTCCATGGAGTAGCCGAGGTTGTTTGCATGTTCATCCAATACTACTATTTTCCTGATTAATTTAAGATCAAATATGGTTTAAAATGTGGCGATTGGAGATTGGATTTTTAATTTTCCCAGTGGAGATTCGGCTAATAAAATCCAATGCTGGCCTAAGCCACAGAAACATGATACTGGAATGAATTGATGCTGGGTTAGTGCAGCAGGTTCTGTGCCAACCATAGGCGACGTTCTTGATGGGGTGATGAAACTTCCTGATAAGTGATGAAATTCTGTTGTCTTTATAGTCCAGCCTGTATTTCCTTTATTTTTTTTGGTAAAAATTTTGTGGGGATTGATTACTTTTACTTGATTTTAGTTTATATAGTTCTTTTCTGCAGCTAAAGTTTGTCATTTTAATTTTAATTTGGTCATATGGAATGTATACTATTATTATTTTTGGAACTGAATTTACTGTTTTCAGCTGCTCTTGACTTATAATTTTGATTTTGTTCCTTTATTATGCTCACATTATTACAATTCTATTACTAATACGTGACCTTAATGAAAAAGAATATAAAAAAATGGTCCAAAGTTTTTTCTTTTTGTTTTTTTGGGTTGAGATAATTCTTAACTTCAAAAAAACGGTGTTAAAATGACTTCAGAATTCTGATGAATTTTGTTTGAAAGAAAAATGGCTATGGTTAGCAATGTGATTAATTACAAGAGGTTAGGAGTTTGTGGGTCGAAACCGAGGTAATTTTGTTATTTACGAACTTAATGGAAGAGAAGATTTTCATATGACTGCTTGTAGAGTCGGTAGATCCATTGAGCTAATAAATCACGCCATTTTTTTTTTGGGTTGCAAATGATTACCCAAGTTTTATCATTATTTAAAAGAGAAATATAGTTCAAAATAAAAAAGGTAGAAGATCCTAGGAACAGGTATTCCCACTTCATATCAAATTAAAATTGGCCTTGATTCTAATCTAGAACGTTGTCAATTAATCTGCTGTTTCGCCTGTGTTATTGGAAAACTCTATGGCTTCGGCGTCCAAAAAAATGGGACTCTTATTATCTTTTAAAGGCTTTTCTGTGTCTCTATCTCCCTTGTTCGCATCTGTTGTTTGATGCTCTGGACTCTTGCGCGTCTGTAACGCTTAGGTTGCATTTGTGCTGTTTTGGGGCTTAGCCTTTGATGCAGAGTTTGGTGTTGTAATGTTCACACGGTCGGCTGCTTTTCTAAAATACATTTTTTCTTGACACTTGATTTTTTGTAAAAAATTTTTGCACCACATTCTAGCCGTCATCTTGCAGTATCTTATTCTTTGTTACAATATCTTTACTTTGCTGTGTGATTTTTTCGATAAGCGCAGGTATCATTATGCATAGGTTATTATATATTTGGAGATACTCAAACAACATATATCTACTTAATCTTCTTATTACAATCAAAGTGGATGGTTGCACGATTAGTAATTAGTATGTTACTATATTGAGTGAAAATTTTGAGCTTTTTCATGTATGTTGTTTATCTTATCCTTGAGCTTTCTTCCATACAGGAATTGCTTTGCATATCATCTACGTGTCTATGGCTGATGAGGTTGTCAGTTTGATAATCGACTTGTATTGATTCTTTTCTTTCTTGCAGGTCATAAATTTTGAGATGCCTCAAAGTGCTGCGGGATATGTACATCGAATTGGCCGTACTGGAAGAGCTTATAACACTGGTGCATCTGTCTCTCTGGTAATTTTCTAAAGACTAAATTGCAATTACTTTTGTAACTGAATTTATACCCTGACTTCCAGATTGAATTTGGTTGATCTTCATTTTTTTGCAAGCAGAACTGATGAACAATAGGATTGCTTGAATATTGACTAGAATCTTCTGTAAATCATTGGCTCATATATATCCATGTTGTAGAAGTTCTGTCATCCTTCGCAATCATGGTTTTGGTTTTCAGTTTTTTCTTTGTGTTTATTGCATATTGAAATACGCCTTTTGTCTTTTATATCAAATATTAGATTGTGCTATAGGTTTTGCCCCTATGTTTTGCTGTTCTTTTTTATATCAGAATTCCTAATATATGTTAGCACATGAATAATGTCTCCCCTAATATGATTAAAGTGATTATGGTAATGCATTTAAAATTATTGTGATCATTTTCTTATATGTTTCTTATCTCCCTCTTACTTGATCTTGAGTAGGTGTCCCCTGAGGAGAATGACATGTTTGAAGATATTAAATCCTTCATCGGTGAAAGTGATAACGTGGACTCCAATTTTATAGCTCCATTTCCATTGCTCACTAAGAATGCTGTGGAGGGCTTGAGATATAGAGCTGAGGTAAATATTGCCTTCCTTTATTGCATAGTAAGTTGTAACTTTTTGAACTTATTATGCGTTAAGCATCTCTTTATGCTTACTTTGCTTCTGTGGTTCTTAAAAAAACCCTATGGCGTCTGCCTCGAGATATTGAAGCTGTTTTGTGCTGTGTTGCTGTTTTGCTCTGTGCTTTTTAGCCTAGAGTTGCTATGTTGCTATTTATACGTACTGCTTCAGTTAGAGCTTTGCTTCTTCGGATCGGTGTGAGGTTATGTATTATTTTTTTGTTTTGACTCTAAAAATTATATATTAATTGCCTTTTGTAGTTAAGCCACCGCACCTAATTGCCTTATCTGTTGCCAGCATAAATTTTTTTTTTAAACCGAATTTGGATGCTTACTGTTGCATTATCAACTTTTCAATTCTGTTACACATTTGGACTATACTTTGTCAGTGTTGCAGGGTGTTAGCCTAAACCTCCGGGTTGCTGATGCTCTTGATGGAAAGGAATTGTTGTGCTATGTTATACGTGCTCCTGATTTTATTAGAGTAACTGGAATCAGGTTTACGATTGTTACGGCTTACTGGGTTGGAGAAGCTGCATCTGTGGCCGTGTCAAATGTGCCTTTCCTGATGTGACATGCCTCTTTCCGGCATCATCTCTACCTTAGAAGTTGCCGAATTAGTATTTTCTCTGAAATATATTTTCCCCATGCTTTCCTTCAAATACGTTTTTATTCTCAGGTTTTTTCTTCATTATTTTTTTTTACTTTCTGTGGTGATGATTCATGATTTCAAGCATGAATTCGTCATGATTTACTTGTAATTTATGCACATACAATTCAATAAGGATTTCAAAGGTTATGTGGCTATGAATGACCATTTAGCTGTAGTTTGCCTATTTTGATTGTGGAACGGATTGTCCGTGTAATTTATTTACCTTACTTTTACTCAACAGAAAGAACTTGCTCAACTTGTGAATGTGAAAGACATATGAGCACACAATCTGGCGGAATGGAACAGGTAATGATTTT